CTTCGTCGACGTTCGCGAAGGCCTATGTCCCCGGTCCTGAATTTGACCTTAAGCTTTGTCCCTGCATCCATTGGTCCATGTAGGTAATCCTTGAACCCTATTCCTTCTTTCAACATTCCGTACACTTCTAGACCCTCCTTATCCTTGGATTCTTTCCTTAGATTCTGTTCTTCTCTGTCGGCACAAGCAACAGATATCTTCTTCTTGAACCCCTGTAGACCCTCCGTTTCAAGCGTTTCATCTTCGTCTATGTCCAATCCCTTCCATACGTCCTCTACAACCTTGACCCATTCCGTGGGTTGGTCTACCCCTCTTTTTGTTTGCCCACTTCGCCTCCCATACTATTCTCGGCAATCTCTCCTCTCCCATCCCGCACATGCGATACTGCCATGTCAGCTTCCTTACGTCTCTTCCCGACCGTAGGGATTGGATCCCCAATTCTGCCCTGACTGCTGCATTACTTGTGCGCTTGGAGCATCCTAGGATGATTTTCGCTGCTTTCATCTGCGCCGCCTCGAGTTCTTTCACTACCTTCTTATTTCCTTCCCATACTTCTCCGGCGTACTCTAGCGGCGGTACGATTACGCTCTTCAAAACCGTCAATTGATGCGTGTATCAAGGTGCCGGTTTGCGAGTATTGGGTGCAGCTTCCCTGCTCGTGCTTTGCCCTTTTCCGCTACCTTGGACATGTGTGTATTCCACGAGCAATCTTTTGCGATCTCTACTCCGAGGTATGTGTACTGGTCCACTACTGCCATCTCCTCGATCCCCCACTTCCATCTATGTTCTACTGGTTCCTCCCTGCCCTCGTTGCATACCATGACGGCACTCTTCGTAACGCTGGCAGACAATCTCCACTTATCAGTAAACTTCTTCGCCGCGTCAATTTGCAGTTGCAGGTCTTCGGGGGGGGGGGGGCGTACTCTTATGCTTTGCATGCCTTAACGGTTAAACCATTGACCACCCGTCCTCGAGAGGACGGAGCATTGTTCCCACAGGACCGATCACCGATGGCCAATCGTTCCTTCCTACTTTGCCAAAGGTGGCTCAAAAATGTCTTCCCTAGTCTGTCTATCCTACCGATGTCACTTCCCGCCTTTTCAAACCACTTCCTACTCCCCAGTACCGCTACCGTCCTCTCCTCTCTATTCCATGCCTCAAACATCTCCCTGTACGTCCCTTGTATTCTTCCCAGCTCAGTCATGTACACTTCCCTCTCCTTTTCGTACCTTCGGGGGGGGGGGGGGG